TACGTGGGTTTCTCTTAAAACATTAAAAAAATTGATTGTATGCAACAGGTGGCTGAGATGAACTCCACCAAAGAAATAGTGGGGATGATCAGAGGCTGCATTAAAATCGTTACGTCTGGAAAGAAATTCTCAAGAATTGACAAATTCAACACCAAATGCGTCCCTGTATACACCAACGTCGCCTACATCTTAGGCCTCCGAGTCTCTCCTTCTCATCGGTATGTTTTCGAATTATTGTCTCTCCATGAACAAACCTTAGTAGCTTAGATGATTAGATGTTTGTCTTAATGTCCCTTGGATATGTTACATATGACTCATTCAAAAAATTTGTTTGTCTACTTTTTGAGTTTACTTTTGGTGATAAAATAATGATTCCTCAATGATGGTGTTGGTTTTTATTTTAGGAGGATGGGAATAGGGTTAAAGCTGGTGCTGAGACTGGAAGAGTGGTTTAGACAAAACGGCGCTGAATATTCCTACATGGCAACTGAAAACGACAACTACGCTTCCGTTAAGCTCTTCACCGACAAATGCGGCTACTCCAAGTTCCGTACTCCTTCTATCCTGGTCAACCCCGTGTTCGCCCACCGGGTGACCGTCTCCGACAGGGTCACAATCATCAAACTCACGCCCAACGACGCCGAATCCCTCTACCGCCACCGCTTCTCCACTACTGAGTTTTTCCCTCGAGACATTGATTCCGTTCTCAGCAATAAGCTCTCTCTGGGCACTTTCCTTGCCGTTCCGCGTGGCAGTTTCACGCAGGACTCCTGGTCCGGGTCCGAGTCGTTTTTGTTAAACCCGCCGGATTCATGGGCGGTTGTCAGCATTTGGAACTGCAATGATGTTTTTAAGCTCGAGCTCCGGGGAGCATCGCTATTCAGGCGAACTTTAGCCAAAACGACGAGGATTATTGACGGGATGCTGCCGTTTCTGAGACTACCATCGATACCAGAGGTGTTCCGGCCGTTCGGCCTGCATTTCCTGTACGGTCTAGGAGGCGAAGGTCCACGCGCGGCGAAATTCGTGAAAGCTCTGTGCGCGCACGCCCACAACCTAGCTAAGGAGAGCGGATGCAGCGTGGTGGCGACTGAGGTGGCAAGTCGGGAGCCGTTGAGGCGCGGGATTCCCTACTGGAAGAGGCTATCGTGCGCAGAAGATTTATGGTGCATGAAGCTGCTCGGGGAAGACTCCAGCGACGAGTCCGTCGGCGACTGGACCAAATCACCCCCTGGCTTGTCCATTTTCGTCGACCCCAGAGAATTTTAGAATCTGAATATTATCAGGACGCCATAGAAATAAAAAGTACTTTGAATAAAAAAAAAAAAAAAAAGGTCTCGACTTTTGGGGCATATAATATTAGTATTTAAAATAATGTTTATTTTTTAAAATTTTATATAAATTAATAATATATAAAAATGTACAATATAATACATGATAGAAAATTTTTTTCATTTAAAAATATAAACTTTTCAAAATTTTAAAGTATGTAGTCAACTTTTATTTTTTATTTAAGGATACAATTTGATAAATTTTTTAAAAAATATGAAATTTTCAACACTCAATTAAGATAATCATTTGTTAAATCATCGTTACTTTTTAATAAATATTTAAATACAACATCAAAATTTGCATTTTTTTTTTTAAATTTACAATCTAATTTAATTTAGATCCCTACAAAATTTGTGTTGTTAAATAAAAAAAATTACACCTTTTCTCGAAAATGGAAAGGCTGGGGGAACTCTAAAGATAGAAATAGATTTAAAACACCCAAAAATCAGGTATTAATACCCACCATGCCTCTTCTATTTCTGCACTCATGAACTTCTCATCAGTTCTCACCACCTTCTAAACAACAAGAAGAATCCTAAACTCTCATCTTCATATTCCTTCGCCTTCAATTTTGTTGACGTTCGCTGGTCTATACCGGAAAATCCACATCGGTTTTAGTTTCATTTCTATTGACTTAGAGTTTTGGATATGGGGGAAGAGTGCGAAATAGTGGTGAGAGAGTTTGATCCGAGCAAGGATTTGTCAAGCGTGGAAGATGTCGAGAGAAGGTGTGAGGTTGGTTCGGGCGGCAAGCTCTCTCTCTTCACCGACCTCCTGGGTGACCCCATCTGCCGGGTCCGCCACTCCCCTTCTTTCCTTATGCTGGTACTCATTTTTCTCTTATCTTTTTCTCTTGGGTTTTTTTACTACTTTCC